CAGTCATATGATATTCTATATGAAGAACAATGCCACCTACTTTCCTCAGGCATAAAGGTCTCTACAGCACCATAATAAGTCATTACAAGAGTAGGTAATGGAGATTTCTAAAAAGGAAACAAACGAACTAGAGCTGCATGTGTCAACCAAGACAGATCTCAAAATCACAGAGACAAGCAAGTTGCAGAACTTTACACAGAGTGCAATATTCCTCATTTTAAGATGAAAAGCCATAGGGAAATAATTGTTTTAATGACATATATAAAATATACACACATGATATATATATGCACAATATATATATATGCACATAAACATTTAATAAAAGTATTAAAATTTTTCAGTTGATGCACACCAAATTTAGAACAGTGGTAACCTCCAGGATCGAGAGGGAAGAGAAGGGGACCAAAGAAGGGGTCATAGAAAACTTTCATACTAACTGGGCTGTTTTATTTCTTAAGCTGAGTGGTGGGTTTACAGTTATTTGTTGGATAATCCTCCAGTTTTGCACACCTGAAATGTTTTATGAAAGAATCAACAAGTAACTATTATGCACATATCCTCCTTTTAACCAATGGTTTGGCTCTGCAACTTCCTATATCCATTGACATTCATTCTCTTTGACAAAAAAAAGAACACCATCTCAAACAGCATATATTCCTAGATACTGTTTTAGTATGCTGGCCTCTATCTCCCTAAAGTATATGTTTCAAAGGGATATGATATGAAGGTGCAAAAACAGGAAATTGTTTCACTTGCTTTTTCATTTTTTAGTTTATCTAATAATCTAGCAATGGGAAAAAGTTCACAAGAATTTTGTCTTTTACCTAGTTTTCTTTAATGATTAAACAGTCACTTCAAATAATTACAAGAAAACCTTTAAATATGACTTATTCCCAAAGGTGAGGCCCATGGGCAAGACTTCTTAGAATATCCCTTGCTTCTCACAGCTCTGTTTTACTTCTTTATATTTCACATCCTTTCTTGCTCAAATAAACTCAAGTATAAAAACATCTGCACTGGAATGTAAACTCCATGAGGATGTGGATTTGTGTTTGATTCACTGCTGTAACCTTAGCACCTACAAAACAGTGCTTGACACTCAATAGAAACTCAAATTTGCATCAAACCCAAACCACATTCCCAACAATGCCCTATGCCTTCTAGTAAAATGCTGGCCTTTGAATACCAATGAAAATACTTCACAACTTTGGGAAACCAATCACAAACATTTGTAGTTCTTTATCTTAAATCATTAAACAAAAATTAGTTTAATGCTGATGGGCAGTGATTGCAATGGGGTGTGGCAGGGGACTTGATAATATGGGTGAATGTAGTAACCACAATGTTGCTCATGTGAACCTTCATAAGATTGCATATCAATGATACCTTAATTTTTAAAAAACTACTAGTTTCTCGGACATTCATATTTTCCTTTCATAATTTAAAAGTTTTTCATCTATCATTTTTCCACCTACTACTAGAACCCTGCTTTTAAAATAAGTCAGCACATGAAGATTCTCTTTTAGAGAGACCAAAAGGCCTTTTATAATAGGCCATTATGATACATTAAAATACAATCCAAGATGGCAAATACGTATATGGAAATACGCTCAACATCATATATCATTAGGGAATTGCAAATTAAAGCAACAATGAAATACCGCTGCATTCCTATTAGAATGACTAGAATCCAAAACACTGACATTAATGCTAGCAAGGACGTGGAGCAACAGGAACTTTCATTGATTGCTGAGGGGATTGCAAACTGGTTTCAGCCACTTCGGAAGACAATTTGGTAGTTTCTTACAAAACTAAACATACTCAGCACATGATCCAGCAATTATGCTCTTTGGTACTTACCCAAAAAGAGATGAAAACGAGTTCATACAAAAACCTGCACACTGATGTTTATCCAACTTTATTCAAAAATTGCCAAAACCTGAAAGCAACCAGTATGCCCTCCAATTGATGAATGGATAAATAACCCCTGGTACGTTCAGACCATGGAATATTATTCAACACTAAAAATAAATGCACCATCAAGCTGTGAAAAGACATGGAGGAAACTTTAAATGAAAGAGGCCTATCTGAAAAGATTATATACTGTGTGGTTCCAACTTACATTTTGAAAAAGGCAATACTATGGAGACAGTAAAGAGATCAGTGGTTGCCAGCAGTTGGGAGGTAATAAGGAGAGACGAATAGGTGGAACACAGAGGATTTTTAAGGCAGTGAAATTATTCTCTTTGACATTATGATGGATACATGTCATTAAACATTTGTCCAAACCCACAGAAAGTACATCACCAAGAGTGAACCTACTGTAAACTATGGACTCTGGGTGATTATGTTGTGTGAGTGCAGGTTCATCAACTACAAAAGTCGTACTCTGGTGGGTGATGCTGATAAGGTGGGTGCTGCACATGTGCAGGGGCTAGGAGATACATGGGAAATCTCTGTACCTTTCCCTCAATTTTGCTGTGAGCCTAAAACTGCTGTCAAAATTAAAGTCTTATTTTTTTTTTAAACATAGACTGTGTAACACCAAGAATAAACCCTAATGCAAACTATGGACTTTCGGCAATACTGAAATGTCAATGCAGGTGCATCCACTGTAAAATGTTCCACTCTGGTCAGGAATGTTGATAATGGGGAGGCTGTGTTTATATGAAAGCCAGGGCACATGGCAAATCTCTGAACCTTCCCCTCAATTTTGATGTGAACCTAAAACTACTCTAAGTATTAATATATTTATAAATTAACTAAAAAAAAATCCTTAAGATAACTCACTTCCATAACAAAGTAACAGATGAAGTGGCTTATTTCTCCAAAGAGACAAAATTGAGTATTTTTATAGACATTTACTCCAGGTAAGATTTTTGCCCTTCCTGGAACATTATCATAATTTTAATTGTACATTTATTAAGAAGAAAATCTAATTGTTACCATAGAAACTACCAAGGCTGGTTATTGCCTCCAAGATTTGAGCAGTTATACCTGTTGGGCCACTGAATTCTGAACTTACAGGTTCCTGTTTAGCAGGGAAAGGCTAAAAATGTCTACATTTGTTTGAAAGAATGGCTAATACACTCATGGGGGTAGTGCAAGTCAAGGTGAATGGAGCACAGAAGCACACACACACATCCAGACAACACACATCACACCCATACCACCAAAGTGGTGGTAAAAATCAGGTGGCCCCCAGCTGCCAGTTTTATTCAAATTTCTTCTAATCACATTTCCCTGTCCAGGATACCACTGATGTTAATTTTCACCTCTACAGGATTATTGCAATTATGTTAGGTTAATGTGGGAGGATGTATTTTGTTTTGCTGTGCGAAATAAAGGAGCTTAAAGCTCTGAGAGATTTACTACACAAGCACCTTCTAAGGATGTCCTTTTTGCCAGAATTTGAAGCAGTCTTTTGCAAGCAGGTTTCAATTGGACATCAAGAATATAATCTCATTCATGCAAAAGGCACTGTGCCTTGGTTTGTCTTCAAATCACATATATCTCAAAGGAGCATAGGTTTTAACACCAGGAAAACCCCCTCACCAACATACTCAAGATTTAATATGCCCCCCTTCTCTTATCACACTCCACATATTACTAACAGCAAAATAAGCCTTAACAGGTACACTTTGGCCTCAGTCACTTATTCCTGTTTCAGTTGAGAAGTAGAAACTGCATTTAATAAACTTACTATGTTTGGGAGTATTCTGAGGGCCCTATGTAATAACAATAATCTGTGTTTTAAGATACCAACTTTTTCTCTACCTGGTCCAGCTCTACTGCGTAACAGCAGTGGCAGAACTGCCTACATATCAAGGACTTCTTAGGGGTCAAACGGTCATGCTAAGTTCTGTAAATACTAAATATACATTTTCAGAAATCCCAAATTCTAAAAGGTGAAAGATTAGAGTGGCTTCAGTTATAAGCATATGTATGCTCCAGCAGTAAAAAGAAAATGAAGTCTTAAATGATTTCAAAACCTACAAACACAATGATATTGCAAGGGAACCACAAACCCCTCAGCACTACTTTGGAACTAGATTTTAAAATACTACTCCCCACTCTAAACATTCAATTGATGTTAACTTTCATACTGACTACCGCTTTCAAGAAAAGCTTCATTTCACGTTTTGGACCTGATATTAAGAATCCGACTACCTTGAAGTACTGGTGATGTCAAAAGACAAAGTGCTTACCAGGAGTCTTCCTCCAAGGAAAGCACAAAACAAAAACAGCATCTGCTCTGATCATCCCTTCGTTTCCAGGTATGAGCAGCCAAAGGAGGCAGCTATGACACACGTTACTTTCCAATATTATTCCAAGTTCAAGTAATGATAAGATGCTAAACCACAGCTGTCCACCTCTAGGCCTAAATAGGAAGCCTGGCTTTGCCTTGACAGCCGTCCTCTTGCAGTCCTGTGTTCCTGCCCTGCAACTTAAGGCCTTCCAGTTTAATACTAATATTCGTAAATACATTAGTGGGGAAATACATATGATAAATATGTATATATTAGAAGTAAATACTGCGGACAACATTCAGTCCTGGGCCCCTAGCCCTAGAGACATACACACGCACACACCTTTCAAGTTCAAATCCCAGCAAGGCACCCACACCGTCCACCTCTTCCTACCCACCCAGGAAAGGTAAGGACAGGAGCGGCGAGCAGAGGTTAAACCAGACACCAGCCAAAACACACACCACTTCCAAAACAAGGCAAACTTCGGGTCTGGGCGGCTGCAGAGACCCAGAAGCGGCCGGGGAAGGGGAGGGAGCGTCAGTCTCAGGGCAGAAAGATCGGGAGCGCACCCAGCACTGCTGAGCTGCGGAGGAGGCTGGCGTTCCCCTGGGGGACAAGGGCGTCGCCGCCATCCCCGACAGCGAACCCCTCTCTGCGACCTGGCCGAGGCCTCTGGGTCCCTGGGCAGCCCTATCGCCCCAGCCCGCCCACCAGAGACCGGCAGGGGAAGGGGGCGCGGGCTCTTACCTGGTGCAGCGTCTCGGCGGGCAGCTGCGACGCCCGGAACAGGTCGGCCACGGGACCCGCGGCTGCGGTGACCGCGCCGGGGACGGCCCTGACGGCCTCAGGGGCCCCGGACGCGGGGCCCCCGCCTGCGGCGCCGGCGCAGCGCGCGAAGAGCTCAGAGTAGCACTGCTGCTCGCCCTCGCTCAGCAGCAGCGGCGGCCCGGAGCCGCAGCCCCCGCCCGCCGCCGCCTCCATAGAGCTTGGAAGGGGCCCGGCGGGGAACCGTCCCCGGCTGGGTCGACACCGCCTTCGCCTCCGCCGCCTCGGTCTCGGCCTTGGCCGCCGCCACCACCCCCACGCCCCGCAGCTGCCGCGCGGCCGCTTCCTCCCGGCGCGCGCCGGCCCCGCCCCCGGACTTGAATGTTGTGCCTCAGCCGCGCGGCACATGGAGACAGGCGCGGCGCGGACCAATCGCAGACGAGAATCGCCCCAGGCCCCGCCCCCGCCGCCCGCCCCGCCCCGCCCCTCACGGCGGCAGGTAACTAACTCCGAGCGCTGCGCGCTTGGCCGTTGGTCACCTACTCCGCCCAGGCCGCCTAGCCAGAGAGTGCTGCGGCCCGCGCGGCGGCGAGCCCCACCCAGCGCGGGAGGGTGGCCTTTGGCTCTCCGCCCGGGCTGGGAAGGGGACCTGCCAGACCCACCTGGAGAATGGCCTTTGCAGGGAACGGGGAAGGCTGTGGCATATTCTCCTTAGGACGCTAGAGCAGGAGTGGTGCCCACCGCACACCGTGCCCTTCCCAGAAAAGGGACCAGGCAAGGGAAATTAGGCTTCCGTTTTTCCATAGCAGTACTGCTTATGTCCTGAAAAGCTGGAGGACCGCGATCTCTATTGAAACGGGGTCGCAGTGATTCCCCATAGCGTTCAGGGTGGCGACTAGGTTAGAGCACTTTCTCGGGCATGGTTTAAAAGGAGTAATATCGCTTAGTATTAAATACTAGAGGAATAAGAGTAAAGAGGCCCCGGGAAGAATTGCACTTAATAGATGCCCAACTGAAAGGAAAAAAAAATCAGTCCAAAGTTAAGCACTAATAAAAAATACGTTTCAGAATTTACTTTAATAAGGAGATATATCAAAGTTTCACCCCAAATAGTTTTAATTTTAAAAAAAGAGCTCAGGAAATAGCAGCGGTGATAAATATACTTTGGTATTTTGGTGAACTAAATTAAAAACCAAGGACAGAAACAGTGGGAAAAAAACTCAGGAGATGGTAAAGATAACGGTGTGAGGGTGGAGAGAGATACATAAGAAGGAAAAAGAAAAATTATGTCAATTCATAAATGATCGCTGGAGTAATATTTTTTTTTTGGAATCTGAAGAAATGAAATAAAGATGAGCCACTCCAAAAATAAGAATTTCTTATCCCTTCATTAAGATTTCCTTATACCACATTTTGCTTCAGACCTGCCAGGAGAGAATTAAGACAGCAGTAAAGTACAGAGTAAAAGAGTACAGAAAGGATAGGTAAGTTAGGAGCAGCAAAGATTAACTTAGCTGGAGAATTTCCATTTCAAAATCTCAACCACTATTGTATTTTCCACATCCGTAATACCTTCTCAGGAAAATTGGAAGCCAAGAGATCACGTTTACTCTCTTCCTACCTTTCCAGTTGTAGTCAGGCTTCCCTGAAAATGGCCTGCCATTCTAACAGAGCTTAGCAAAGGACCCCCTCTTCCTGATAAATGCCAAATCCCACTTTCCCCCTGTGACTTCTGCAAAAAGAAACATACTGTATAATAATCTCTAACATGCATATGGTTCAAAGCTATATTATCTCATTTAAGCCTCCCAGTAACTCTGAGGTAAGTCAGAAAACATTTTTATTTCCATTTTGCATGAGAATATGGATACTGAGAAGGTATGATTTGCCCAACTTAATACTAGATTCAGAGATGATCTTCATTACTCAACTCTGTTAAATAAATTTGACAGACATTTATTAAGCACCAGATACTGCAGAGATGGGTAAAACATATCTGTGTCTATCAATCCATCAGTCAACATTTATTGGTGCAACAGAAAATACTGACTGTGTTCCTACTGGAGCACTGTGAAGGATTTTTTAAAAATACAAGATGTGTTGCTTTCAAGGACTCTGCAGCCTCACTGGGAAAGACAAAACTAACACAGCAATGAAAACAAACAATAAAAGACAATATATAATTAAGTGCTAAATTGTCTACCCCAGGCTAAGTGCTGTGGGAGTTTAGGGAAGAGAAAATCCTTGAGCTGGAGCTCAACCAGGAAAGCTTGATGAAGGGGGCCCTCGGATGGATGTTGATGAAGTAGGGAGGAGCCCTAGAGACTTGGGCCAAGGAAGTGATGAGTGAGGGACCACAGGCCAGGTCCAGGGAGGGGCAGCCTCTGATGGGCTCTGGGATGCCAGAGGGAAGCTGCTCAACAAAGGATGAAGAACAAGAGACACACGCGGAAGTGGCCAAAGTGACCCAACAGCAGCAACATTTATGCCCAGGAAACAGGGGGAAAAAAACGGCATTTTTTAAATGTTCTAATATCTAAGGAATGCCAAGTACTGTTTTTTATTTCTGCAACAGTTTTCTGAATAAAAGAAATAGTTATCAAACTTCAAAGAAAACACAGATAAGAATAAAAAAACTAGAAACATTCATATCCCTTAAGGGTGACCGTAAACAACAATGTTTTAGAAGAGAATTTCTTTATATTTTTTGCAGTTCTAAACTTACTCACTTGTTCAGCTCCATCATGGTCAGAAAAGCAGGAATGATAATATATTCAGGAAGAGCCAAAAGATACTTACTCTTCAAGACATGCTTTTCTCCTTTTAAATCCACCATCGATGCCCTGCATGAAAATGACAACTGACTCAGAACAAGGTACTGGTTACCTACAGGGAAGAGTTTTCTAAAGCAGCGGGTAGAAAACTAGAACCAGTTGCTTGGTTTTGTATGACTCAAAAGCTAAGAATGGGTTTTACATTTTTTTAATGGTTAAAAAAAAGTAATGCTTTCTGTGCATGGAATAATATTTCAGGACATATGAAAATTATCCAAATTCACATTTCAGTGTCCATAAGCAAAGTTTTGTTGGAACACAGCCACACCCATTCATTTCTGTGTTGTCTATGGCTGTTTTCTCACTGCAATGGCAGAGTTGAGTCATCACCTAAAATGTTTACCCTCTGGCCCTTCACAGAAAAAATTTGCTGATTCCTGTCCTAAAATATGGAGACCTAATATTTTCTCATGCCTACAGTTTACAAAGTACCTGGGCGGGGGTGGTATGGAGAATCCTGTTTGGCTTCTCTGAGCTTCCGAATTTTCCTGAGTGACACTGAAATACTTTAGACTGTATCCAAAGATTGATGGACTTTAAAAAGTACTTGTTGAGGAAGTGACCAAGGTAAATACTAAATAATTACTTCTTTGGCTGACTTTAACTTTTTTTTGCTTTGCTAGTAGTGAAGACAGGTAATCTTTAACAGTGTGAAAGAGAATCCTATTCCCCTGACCACATTTTTTCATGAGTAAGTTTCCTCTCTCCTCCCCAAGAGGGAATATTGATGAAGTAACATTGGCATGTCTCCCAGCTCCTCTCATTTCATTTATCTCCTCTAAGGAAGAAGTGATGGAAGGGAGAAAGAAGTGCCTCTTTCTTTGTCCCCTTCTTTCTCTCCCTCTCCCTCTGTCTCTGTCTCTCTCTCTCTCAACCTCTCTCCCTGCCACCACCACCCCTGAATTCTGCTGCCCTCAAAGGGGACTCGAGTTCCACATGGAAAGCACACCTACTTTGGGCCACTCTGGCCCCACTTGCAGGGCTTGATGCATATAAGACAGCAATTTTCTTGCAGCTTCCCAGGTTAGGGTCTGTTTTCTAAACACTCTCTGAGGTGGGGAAGGAAGCCGGGAGAGAGAGTAAGACGAAGCTTGACTGTGGCAACAAATTCAATCCAAATCTCCAATCCAACTCCAGCAACCATGAAACTGATGTTGGCAACGTGGACCAAACCCAATTCATTCTACACTCAGAGGAAGAGAGGGCTTGGAGGACTTGGACCTCCATATGTCCTACAAACCACCAAGGACAGTGGCATCTTACAAGTTACTGCCTCCCATAAAACCAGTTTTGAACATTGGTGAAATTATATCCTGCACCCGCCCCCGTTTGTGTGTGTGTGTAAGATAATGTGCCCTCTTTCTTCATATACCAACTCCATCCTCTGAAGCAAAAGCCTGACAAATTGAGAAGGAGGCTATTCTCCAGCAACAAACAGCTTGTTCTCAGCAGCCCTGCCGGCCTCTTCTGTTAGGTATCAGACAATTCACCTCTCTCCATGGAATGAAGCCTTTGGTAGCCCTGGGAATAGCTGAGCAGAATCGTTAAAAAGCTTTCTGTGCACTAGGAAAAGTCCAATACTTATGTCAGACAAACTGGAGCCAACAGTTCTCACTACTTGTGAACAACAGCAAGCTGTTGGAGCAGCCATGGCGGCTGTGGTTGCTGTTTGCAGCGGCCTAGGAAGGAAAAAATTGATGCACTTCATAATGGCTGTTGTCTGCCTCACAGACCCCAGACTTCACGCAGTGCTGTGGAGAAGTTGTTCACAATATAAACAAGTAACCAGCAAAGAGGACCTGCCCATTCCAATGGAAATTCTTAAAAGGGACCTCTTAAATGGTGTACATTATGTGGAAAATGTGTAATTATAAGAATGTACAGCTTTTGTCCTAGTTTATTTCTCCATTTACTGGATGCATTTATGGGAGACACATAACAGGTCCCTGTGGGCAGAAACAAAAAGAAAATCACAAAAGCAATTAAGAGAGCTCAAATAATGGGGTTTATGCCAGTTACATACAAGGATCCTGCATATCTCAAAGATCCTAATGTTTGCAACATCAAATATCACTAGTAAATTATATAAGGTTATCCTCAATGAACTCATTTTACAATTTAAAGACATATCAAGCTGTCTCACCTTGGGAAGGAAGCTTCCTGCTTTGGTTCCCTGAACAGGATTTTGGATAATAATTATCCTAGCCATATATTTTCACAGTGCTTTTTTAATCACCCATGTTATTCAAACGTACTGTCAGAGCTTTTTTCTATGTTTTAACAAAGAAAAAAATTCTAACTGTAGTTATTCAGCATTTCATCATCACAGCTTTGAACAAGGATTATTATTGATTGAATTGATAGAATTCTGAAAATCCAATTTTCAGAAGTTATTTATGTTTCTAAAAATGGAGGGTTAACTAAATGAGTCAGGTTAATACTGAAACGAACAACCTGAAAATTCTCAGTGGGTTAATATAATAATAATTTATTTCTTGCTCATATCACAGTCCA